GCGTGTCCGCCAGACTCGCCTACACCTCGCGCTGCTTCAGGCCATTCAAAGTAGGCCAGTCGATCTCTGAACGGTTGTTCAAGAGACAGTCAAAGTGTTTCCACCAGATCTGTATTATGTCTGCAGGTAGCGACTGAGCTACCATCGATCAGCGTCCTCAGCGGCTCCAATCTCGGTCCATACACCGCCTTCAAAGAGTCAAAGAATTCCTTGTGTTGGCGACGTTCGGCCTAGCATTCAATCTGCTTAGCCTTCTCCGTCCACCATGCATTTTTAATGCGACGGAGCCCTCGGGTCAGTCGCCGTAGAATTCTACCAAACTTTCTCTTCTTCCCCAAGTCACTTTGGTCTGCCACATGTGCAGCAAATGCTGCATTCTCCCCAGACACCAATGCGCCAATCTTTGCATTGTTCTCATAAAAGCAATCAGGTCGCTTACAGTTTGCGCGTCCGATGGTTCCTCCCCATCAGCGGCCACCTGATCGCGAATGTGATGCCAGATCGCCAACTGTAACTGTGCAGTCCACATCACACAAGCGTGCAGCCATCGCCTTCTCCAGCTCAATACATTTCGCCCCAGTACCGAGGGAATGTTAAATTGACACAGATTCATGGCGGGAGTGCAATGCACAGATTTGTGAAAATATATGTACAGTTTGGTCCGCACCAATTTATGATCAGTGCCACACTCAGCTCCACGCAGTACACGTGTCATGCGCACTTCAAGCATATCATGCTGACGTACGATGACATAGTCGAGCAGGTGAGCGTGACCACTCCGTGGGTGCGTCCAAGTTGCTATATCGCTCACACTCAGTGCAAACCGAGTGTTCGTGATCGTCAGGCCGTGAGTGGCACCCAGTGAGAGCAGCCTGTCACCGGTCGCATTCGCTGAACCAATGCCATGCGGACCGATAACATCTGTCCACACCGATGCATCACACCCAAGGCGCGCGTTGAAATCACCCAGCAAAAATAGTCGGTCGTTACTCGGCATATATATATATATATATATATATATATATATATATATATATATATGTATATATATAGTGCCACAACACATGAGTAACAATAATAAAAAGGAGGAAGAGAGAGTCGGAGGAATGGAAGCAAAGTTACGTGTGCTGGGTGGGTAGTAAGCTTCGCCGTTGCCCAGGCTAAGGGTTGACTTAAGGGGACCCACCCTGAAACTGGTCTAAAGACCTGACCCGCAAGGCAGTGGCGCGATTCACGAAGGCCGTTGACACCCAGGTAGCTCATTCGTCTTCTTTTGTTCGGAAGCAGTCCACAGAGAGACCGGTGGCCACCAAGGATGTTCATCAACGTTCCGTTAGATGCTCACCCACAGTTGCACGAGAGAGCGGTCAGTGATCCTATAGCCGGTCAACATGGGCTTTGAGACAACGTACGAGCACTTGTGATACATAATGGAGAACCAGCCCAGAACTCCCCACGCTCTGAGACGCTGCCGCTGATTGTCCGTGACTGCTTATTCATCTCGCTGGCAAAGCAGACGAGACTTATTCGCAGTTACCTCCGCAAGGAAGGCATTCCCCGATCCGCAACCTGGGAACGCGCCCGATAGCGTACAGGTCCGCCACGGGTCAATTGCATATAGGACAATACCAACGCCTAAAGGATAGTAGAGAAAAGAAAATCTAAGTATGAGGACGGAAGTTGATTAGAAAAAGTGACTTGTTGTCACCCAAGAAAATCTAGTTAGTGCTCAGAACCAGAAATCTTAAGTGCCCTTACATTTTCTCGAAACGAGACCCAGTACTTGAGAACTGGACGGTAAAGTTTTCGTCCTATCCCGATAAGAGCGTGGTGTAAGCAGTTTCTTGGGGTGACCGCGGAGACCAGATAACCTGGGAGCACCACATAGTCAACATAAGTCCGGGTTAACATTCCAGTTAAAATGCGATAAGTGAGGATCAAGTCTACTTGAGTTTTTCGGTATTGTATTGGATGCATCAAAAAATAAGTAGACGTTGCTGGCACGTCTGTCATCATAAGCCCTCAATCAAATTGTGAAACACTGGTAAAACCCACTCCAGTTCCATTCTACCGCGAACGGAACGGGGCTGGCAAGACTGGACGTAGTATCCCAGGTGGAGCCGAATGAAAGTTAAGAACAGCTACGGCCTTCTTCCGGCTGTCGCAAGGGTGACAGCTGATTGATGAACAGTGAACGGTATTTAGATAAATCTAGTTGGACACACGAGGGAGTAAAATCTCTCTGACTACGTATCACCAGGACTAGTTCAGCAATTGCGAGGATCATGGCCTCTTTCTATCCAGCACAAGCTTTCGGGGATCCTGGCGCCAACATGCCACCTAGAGACGCCCATCACTAGGCCAGTCGTGGACAAAAAGTGACCACATCGCCATTAGCTATCGCTGGCAGGGTTGCGTACAGGATTACAAATCAATCTGGAGTACCTATCACACTTCGGATCACGCGCTGGTGTGTGCCAAGGTCGCGCTACGTTTTGGTGGCTCCCAACAGCGTCGCCAAAAACGGCTTGATGTAGCCAAGCTTTCTGCCCCGAACGTTCTCTACGTAGTTCAGGATGCTTTGGCCTCACGCCTGAAGACTGCCTCATGCACAGACATTGAAACACATTGGACACACATCCGCGGCGCCATGTACAACTCTGCAACCCTAGTCTGTAGCTACACCAGTAGTCCTGTAAACCACTGGATAGCTGTACGATCTCTCCAACTTCTCGAAGCCCGTTTGCTAGCGTTAAATAGCATTCACTACACAAGACTACTAACGCTGAGCTCAAACAGCTTCTTCGGGAAGATCGCTAGGACTGGTGGACGCAGCGGGTCACTGAGATGGAGCAAGCAGCCACATGGGGGAATTTCCGTAAGCTTTTCCTCCTGGTCCGATCTACTGGCGGCAAAAGGACGACTGTAAGCGAAGTTTTATGCAGAACCAATCGCTACCCAATCCACTGTCAAAAACGCCAAGTGGATCGTTGAGCCGGGCATTTTGAGCAGCGGTTTAATTGGCCAGCAGCACCAATGAGTTCCCATTCTGGAGTCCAGAGCGCTCGCTGGTGAGTAGACGCTTCCCAACCATCTGAGACTGAGGTTGCCCACGAGCTTCGCCTTTTAAAGCGCTACAAAACCCTTGGCCCAGATGTACTCCCTCTGGCTCTTTTCAAAGATGGCGGCCCATCATTTTTTCAGGAGTTAACTTCTTCAAGAGGTCTGGGTCATTGAAGTTATCCCGTATGATTAGAACCTAGCGGATATCGTGCCCGTCCTCAACAAGGGTACCCAAACTTACTGCGCCAACCACAGAGTGATTAGTCTCCTCTGTGTTGCTTCCAAGATGCTCGAAGCTCTGCTTTTAAGGAGGCTAAGCCTGGTACGCGAACAGAGCATACGTGAGGAGCAAGCTGGGTTCCGCTCAGGTCGGAGCTGTATCGATCGTATTTTTACACTTCGCCAAGTACGCGAGCGTCGTCAAACATTTGGCCAGCCAACGATCGGTCTTCTTTGACATACGAGCCGCGTTTGACTCAGTCGACAAAGCTGCTCTCTGGAGTTATCTACTGAGAAAAGGAGTGCCCGAGAAGTATGTCACCTTACTTCGAGCCATCTACTCTCAAACCTCGGGCTGAGTGCGGGTGTACGGCAGACTTTCGCCCCCCTTAGTATCAGCAGTGGCGTGAGATAGGGTTGCCCAGCATCTCCCTTCTTGTTCAATTTCGCTATAGACGAAATCTTAGAGAATGCTCTGGAGGACTGCGAAACCAGCGGCATAGAGCTACATCCGGGGAGCGACTTCGGGATTGAGTATGCAAACGACAACACCGTAATCTGCACTTTCTCACAGGCCGCCCAAAATGTTCTGTGTATGTTGGAGATGTCTGTCCCCCGATTTGGAATGACCTTCGCACTATCGAAATGTAAGGTTATCCTGCAGGACTGGCCAAGCGCTGCTCCTGACCTTATCCTTCTAGGTCATTAATTGGAAGTGGTGGACAAGTTCGTTTACCTCGGAAGCTGTCTCAGCGCTAATGGTTTAACGGATGAGGTCTCTGCGCATTTCCAAGGCTCGGGTTGCTTCTGCCAATCTCCGGCATCGAGGTGATCTGAGTCTATCTCTGATAGGCCGAATTTACAATGCCACAGTGAGAGCGGTTCTCCTCTATGGCTACGAGACTTCGCATGTTCGCACAAAGGATGTTGAGAGGTTGTTTATTTTTGATCACCGCTGCCTTCGGAGCAATGCTGGTGTACGATGACAATATCACACTAAGAATGAAGATGTTCGATGAAGGATTATCAGATCAGACAGACTTTGCCGGTCACAGAGCAGCATAATGTCTCTGCGCAGACTTCAGTGGCTTGGGGATGTTCTTCGCATGCCTACTCATCGCTTACCTCGCCGTGCTCTCTTCGCGCAAACAGAAGCCGGCTAGAAGCGCAAGCAAGGTGGCCAATGTATGACTTTGGCCAGGAGTATGAAGGAGCTAACCTCAAAGTTAGTCGTGGTAGGGCGTTCTCGGATCCCTGGCTGGAGTGTGAAGGATCCGGAACACAAATGGCTGGAAACACTCGGATATGGCAAGAAATCGTGCACAATGGCGAACTTGTTGTGACTCACTATTTCCATGAACACCGGTTTTTCTCTATCTTTATATGTTTATTGTATTTTCCAAACGTGGAGGCACTAGACCGATTGTACTATTGGCCGTGTTGAATATATATATATATATATATATATATATATATATGTATATGTATATATATATATTCAGCAGAAAAATAGCTATCCCGACCAGCATCGTCATCATCATTCAACACATCAGTTAGGGGGTGAGGAAAACCCCAGCTGTTGTGCCGCAACACAATTCAATCAGGTGTCAGTAAAAAAAGCTAATATTGTATAACGTTGCATTCAAGAGTGTGAAAGATAACGAGATATTAGTTGGAAAAGGAGGTTAAACAAAATCTGATGGGATAAAGAAACTCACAACAAAGACGCTATCGTCATCGGTTCTTCCCCATGTGAACCAGTGTATCCAACCAAACATGCGCATAGTCTTCAGGACCAACCAGACAGACGTGGGCAATGCAGTCGCGATGTCGACGAAACGCAGCTTGCTTTTCACGTAGATGGCTTTCACTTATGTCAGTCAATCTGTGAAGGAGGGTAGAGGAAAGGAAAGTAAAGTGGGGACCAGACTGATTCCTCTATGGTTAACGAACTTCGAAAGTGAACCCTCCTTGAAGATCGGGACTATAAGCGGAGCAGCATCAGTCCGTTAAGACAATATCCTGTTTCCACAGATCGTGTAAATCTTACACAAGAACAGGTCCTCGAAATTGAAGAAAAGTGGAGAAAGATCATCTGATCTTGTGACTAACTATGGCAGTCCGATTTTACGTTCGCAGAAGCGCACCTGGAGACCAGCACATTTAAATGTATGGTCGGAATCCCCATTTGTGCTCAAAATGGAGTGAGTTTTGGACGCAACCTCTGCAGCTGTAACTGATCGCGATGTGACTGATTTGCATCTTTGACCGATCCGATATTGGTGGGCGGTATCTCACCCTTGCTTACAGATGTTGCGTCGGAAGTAACTGTTTGCGATAACTGAACGATCATCTTCACACAGGTGTAACAACACTCACTGGTATCATTACGGGAACTTACACCGTATTCACCGCCCAGATACAACTCATCATTTGGCAATTTCCTAGCCTGAGCGTTCAGATCGCCAACCAGCACTACAGTATCAGTGTTTCTACGACGAAGGAGCTCGTTCACTTGGTGAGAGAAGTCATCGCGCTACGGTTTGTGGGCGCGCAGGCCGCAGTGGTAAGTAGGTACGTACTGGCGTCGCGCGACTTCGAAGTTTTGAACGAGCCAGCCAGTCGGACTGCGCACATCCGGTCACGCACTGAGAGCCAGTCTACCAGAGCAGCTTCAGTCCAGGAGCTCAGAGGAATACCCATACAAGTTTGACCGCCATTTAAGGCTGCATCATCTCTGGATAGACGCAGTGAGAAAGTCGTGTATCACGCGAAGGGGACCGCAAAGTGAGAAGAGAGCTCGTGTTGCAGACGAGTTTTCTATAAGCAGACAGCAATCAATAGGGGTAGTAGTTTTCGGGCCCATGCTGCTTTTGGTTTTTCATTTCTACCCAGCTGCTATCACCGGGTCAGGTCCTGTTGAGAAGATCCGGTCCTCCAAGTTCGATCCTCTTGTAAAACGATTGGAACTTATTGGATAATAAACCTAATACGCACATGTTCATTTGTCAAACAAGAGAGAAGAGACCGCACCAATTCGACAAATCACACCTATGGGCAAACAGCTGATCGGGCAGGATAATAGGATTAACGTCGGTCCAAAAAGAACGATCACACCCAGAGCTGAGGGCCATGTCTGTGCATGTGACGAAAGTCGCATACTTTCAGGCCATTATCAAACAAAATTTTACGGAATCTTTGTCCCTAAGGAACGAACTTGGGGCACTACAACAGTGCATGCGTCTATATTACCTCAGAAAAAGAGAGCATTAAACACTAGCTCTTTTACGTAAAACGCTACTACTCATAAGTTACAAAGATTCAGTAATGCGGTTTCCATATACCGCTTCCGCCCCAAAGAAATCCTTGTGCGATACAAGATCTGCTCCAAACATCAGTGCGGGAGAATGTGGTGTTATTCTTCGTGGCACAGTTGTCGTTGCATTACATTGCTATCCGTAACATTTTTAGCTCTCGTCCCTATTCACGAACGAATAAAGCCTAATTTCCAAGGTCTGCAATTCTCACTCGCTAGTATATCTTTGACTAATCAGTTATAATACAGAGAGGAATGCCTTGAACATTTCCCACGTCATCTTGAGATCGTCTGCTGCCAAAATGGTGCAGGGTAACGTGGTAAGTCTGGATCTCATTGCATGAAAGTCAACACGCCACATGTTCGGACCTCTAGTTGCGCATTTCCCTTGGGCGTTACTGAGAGCACACCGAAGTGTCGTCACTAGCTCCAAGCGGCTAGCTGTAAACAATGTTACTTACGAAGTCAACTAATTTTGAGAAAATAAGAACAATGGATGGAGACTGCCCCTCCGTGGACGTTGTGGACTGATACACAAACAGATGTGGGGACGTAGCAACGTCAGCTCCACAGGCTCAGCAGCTAAGCCTATGGTCACAGTCTCGCATGAGAGGTTTTTATGACATGAACTACTCTCAGTAGATAAATAGAATACCAGGGCTTGGATAGGAGTAGTAGTATTGATACGAGATCGTAAGGCAAGTGCGTAATGAGAGTTAGGTAATATGGTTCAAAAATATAACGTGCTTCAAGGAGATTTCATCTAGATTCGTTCCTACGACTAAGATGTCATCTAACACGGTTGCGACACCGACGGTCTCAGTTGTAACGTTGCAGGAAGCATCGCTAGACGATGGGTATGATGTGGTTACCTTAATAAAGGTCAGCGTTAAACAGTCGAGAGTGATGTGCCGGTCACCGCATCATCAGCAGCAGCAATAAATGATGACAGAGGGTGAGAAGCACACCTCAGCTGTGACGCAATACTCGGCCGGTGGCTGAGTGGTCTGCACGCCTGGCTTGCAATCTTAAGGTCACCGGTTCGAATCCGCGTCGGGGCGGGCGCCCTCACGGTATATTCAGCCCATGCGCGACTGGTGGTAGTCGAGCATCATCATCATCATCATACACGTTAGCTAGAGGTGGGAAACACCTCAGCTACTGTGCCGCAATACAAAGAAAAAAGGAGAGAAAACAAAACAACTGGTGAAAGCTGGCTGAGCTACCGGTAACGGATGGGCATCGTTTCGGTAAGCTACCAGCCGGCTGCTGTGCACCCAAAAAAAATTATTATGCAAAATTATATAAGGCTAAGTAATGAGATCGTGGTTGGAGGGGGAGGCTAAGAGGGATGGGGTGGGACAAAGGAACTCACAGCACGAACGCCACTGAGGTCGGCTCCAAGCCATATCAGCAAGTGTGTCCAACCAAACGTGTTCATCGTCTTTCGGACCCCAACCAGGGAGCCGAGACGCTCCAACCGAGGCCAGCTCAGAAGTGAGGGTCTTCATTCCTCTGGACCAAGTCATCGCTTGGCCACCCCTCCTCTTCTTCCATCCACACCTCCGGCGCGCAAACAACACACGTCGCGGAAGTCGGTGGGCTGGCATGCGTAACACGTGGCCGAGCCATCGGAGCCTGATGCGTGAAATAACGGTGCTGAGCGGTTCATTTCCTTTTCCTGTGCCATAAACAAGGCGTCGAACACGCTCGTTACTCACGCGGTGTTCCCACCAAATGTGAGCTAAATTACGAAGCCAACGGTGGTCGAACGTAACTAGACTCTTCAGGTCCGCTGCTTTAAGCGGCCAGGTTTCACAACCGTACAATAGGGTCGAACGTACTGCTGCATTGTACACCCTACCCTTCAGGGCAAGAGTGATGTCGCGCCGGCGCCATAAGTGGCGAAGGTTAGCAAAAGCGCCCCGAGCTTTTGCTATACGATTCGTGATTTCATCTTCAATCCCACGGGCGCTGATACAACTTCCCAGGTAGTTGAATTTTTGAACGACTTCTAGCTGATCCCCACCAAGGGTCAGCGCAGGAGGCGGTCCAGACCAATCTTGGAGAAACGCTTTGCACTTCGAGGGTGCGAAGCAAAGCCCGAAGTGACGGACAGCTAGTGCTAATCTGTCCAGTGCCGGTTGGCACGTTTGTGAGCTGTCACAGATGAGGGCAATATCATCAGCATACTCTAAATCAAGAAGTCGTTCTCCTGGGAGTAGCTCCACGCCTTCTAAGTCGTGTCCTGTGAACGCGGTTTCCATGACTTCGTCAACAGCGAAGTTGAAGAGGAAAGGTGACAGCGGGCATCCTTGTCTCATGCCGCTGGAGATAGTAAAGGGCGACGACAACTTGCCGTAAGCCCTCACTCTGCCAGAGCTACGAGCATATAATGCTCGGATAATATTCACATATTTCTCAGGTACACCTTTCCTGAGTAGACAGTCCCAAAGTGCATGTCTATCGACCGAATTGAATGCACCTTTGATATCGAGGAACACGACAACGGTGGGCCGCCAATATATGTGACGGTGCTCCAACAACTGACGCAAGGTGAAGATGTGGTCAATGCAGCTACGACCTCGACGAAATCCAGCTTGCTCTTCACGAATCTGGCTTTCACGAGTGCCAATCAGTCTGTGAAGGATGACAGAGGCAAGCAATTTGGAGGCGATGGAGATCAGACTGATTCCTCTATGGCTGCCGCATTCCGATCGTGAGCCTCCTTTGAAAATTGGGACTATGATGGAGCGGCTCCAATCGGTTGGGACAGTTTCCTGCTCCCACAGTCTCACTAGTAACTCGTGTAAATCATCCACAAGAGTAGGTCCCCCGAATTTGAAAAGGGCTGGAGGAAGGTCATCAGGTCCCGCGGCTTTATTTAACTTCAACAGTTTGATCTCATGTTCGACTTCTGAGCGAGAGGGTGGATCCAAAGGAACAGCCCACGGAGCAGGGCGATCACTGGTCGGCGAGAAATCTAATACTTCCGACCGATTAAACTGCCTTTCAAAGTGCTCAGCCCAACGTCCCAGGCGTTTTGATAAGTTGTGGATGGGCTGTCCACTCTCGTCACGTATAGTTTCACTAACACCAGGTCTCCTGCTGCCCGTTCCCCGTATAAGACGGAATAACTTCCGATGGTTACCAAGGGCAGCGGCCATTTCCATCTCTGTTGCACGACGAGACCACCAGGATTCGCGGTCTCTCTTCAGGCTAGCACGGAGTTTTGCCCGGAGCTGTTTGCGAGTTTCATTGTGTTCGCTTCCAGCCGGAATATGCCGGCGAGCATTTATAAGTTCCAAAGACTGTGAAGAGACCTAATGTTCATGTTGGCGATTAGACATACCACATGAGGATTTGCCTGCTGCTAGTAAGGCCAGTTGCATATGAGACCAGAGATCTTCAATTGCATCCAGTGAGCGTTTATCCAACTCGGATGACAGCGTAATTTGATAGGCGTTCAGAACAGCTGGATTCACCAGTCTGCCGGTGTCAATGCGCTCACAGCCTCGTCGTGGGCGCCCGCCAAAGCGCATCCGCAGGTCAGCACATACAAGTGCATG